TAAGGGACCAGTTTCAGAATCCCTGGAATTAACTGCCACTTGGTCTTTTTCTTGTTTAATTTTAGTTCACATCTCTACTCCTCTCACATCTCTACTCCTCAGAGATCCACAATAGGGTACTTTCTCTTGAATGAATTTGGGCTTTGTAGTGGGGCTCTGGCTGGATGCAGTGGGTGAAGGGACCTGGAGGCCTGACTGGTTGAACACACTTTCAACCAGGCCTCCTTGTTTTAGCTTCATCCTTGCCCTCACTTCCAAAGGAACCTTGGCACTAATTCCTGTGCCTATTAATAGTTTCGCAGTACAACTGCATCTGCTTCTTGGCCTTCCTCTCTATCACTTAGTGCATTCTAGTTCTCAGTCAAAACTTTTTGGCTATTCTCTGCTCTTTTTTTTTTGTTGTTGTTTATTTGTTTTGTTTTCCTTTTAATGCTTTTGACTTTAAAATAATTCCTTTGGACTGGCTATGTAACTCAGTGATAGATCACTTGGTTAACATGTATGAGTTCCCAGGATCCCTCCCTACTATCACAAAAAAACAACAAAAAAAGTTTTTTCAGGGGATGTATAGCCAAGTGGTTGAGCACATAATTAGCATGCACAGTTCCTGTGTTTGATCCCCAGCCCCCAGCAGTCATCCCACAAATTCTTCTACTGTTGTATTTAGTAGAGTTTTGGTATTGAGGAGAATGAGAGTAAAACTTAGGGGCTTAATTCACCCTCTTTACCTGAAAATTCAAATAGACTTTCATTTACATATTGCTCTATTCCTTGCTTTTTCCATTAAATGAAACTTGATAGTTTTTCCATATCTGCACATATAAATATATTCTTTTCAAGAAATATTATTTTATTACATCGATGTACTGGTGTTTATTTAATCACACATCTATTGTGGGACATCTGGTTTTGTTTGCTCCCTCTCTTCTTCCTTCCTTCGAAATTCCTTACATCTACTATGCATCTTTGGCTACAGGCGGGCACATAGTGTCAGGACTAAGAGTCAAACTGCCTGAATTTCTGTTCTAATTCTGCCATTTATGAAGCCTTGGATGAGTTACTTAATTCCCTGAGTTCAATTGCCCTGTTTCTAAAGTGAGACTAATAACAGCATCTGATTATTATGAAGATTAAATGAGATATGCCTGGAACACACTAAGTGCTCAATAAATAATACCTTGGCTTATTATTCCATTAAATTCCTGAAAGTGGAACTACTAGGGCAAAGATATGTACACTTAAAATTTTGATATAAATTGTTACATGGCATCTTTAAAAGGCTGTTCGAGTTTGTGTTCCAAATAGAGGTAAATGAGTATGCTTTTTTCTACTTGCTGTTTACAGACATAAAACAGCTCTGAGCCACCTGCTTTTTATTGTTGATATGCTTTTGTCTGTTTTGTAAAGGTGAAATATTTCTCTATACCCATTTTTGAAAATCAAACATTGGGAAGCAAAAGTCTAGTAGGAATTATTTGGTGCTTTCTTGTTCCCCATGGCACCTAGTGGAGCACATGGATTTAGTATCAAATAATCATTCAGGAAATACAGAAATATGCTTTTTAGATTTGGAGTTCCATTTTAATTATTTGTGAAATGAATTTTTTGCAAGTAATAAAATTGTTTTACCATATGTATTATAGAAAATTCAGATATTAGAGAAAAATGCAAACAGAACAGTCTAACATCTAAGAATAATCATTTTTCTATTGCTCTATACAGATAGAAGGCTCAGTAGGCAGATGAATGGGCACAGAAGATTTTATAAAAATAGTTTATATATATTAATGTATAATTTAAGAATGAATAATAGCAGAACTAATTCTACTTTAATTGATAGCTGAAGTAAAACTATAAAAGTTACTGAGTTATAGTTAACTTTCTCTAAGGTTAAAAGCTGAGATCAAAGTTGTAGGGGTTTTGTTAATAATTTTATTTGTGAGTTTTTCTTTGACATTTGTAATCAAATTTAGAAAGAGTTCACGCCTTGCCCCATTTTACTTTTGGAAGGACCTCAATATTTTTCATTTGTGAATTTTAGGTTCAGTCTGGAAAATAGCCTTGACTGGTGGTACTTTTCATTTTTGAGGAAGCTGTAGGATTCGACAGAGGTGCTGTATAACTTCCCCATCTCTGCCTTACCTGTTTCACATATTAATTTTGTATACAGGTTTGTTTGGGAATAAGTCCCACGAGCCCCCCACCAAAAAAAAAAACAAAACCTAAACTAAAAGAAGAAGAAAAGTTTGAAAAATATTAGGCACTGCATATATTAGTAGCAAACTAGTGAAAAAGAGAAAAACAGTCATATAGTTTTCTTTGTTTCTTTTTGTGTCTCAACATTGCTGGAGCACTTACGTCTCTGGTTTTAAAAGTATACATGAGTATTTTATTTGGATGACTTAGGTGGCAAACTGCTGAGAATTACAGTGAATGTACTGACAGCTCCTTAATTACACTGGATTTTGCTACACCACTGTGATGTAAAAGTTAGCACAGTGACAAAAACAACATAAGTTAGGAACGTTGGAGTTGTCGACTAAGGTTGGAAGCTTTGAGAAACTGCTCCTGGCTACTTCAGTGGTGATCCAACTACAGTATGTCATACAACAGAAAACATTTGCCACCATGTTTACTAAGTGATATTTACCAACCCGACCCCATAGTGGCCAGCTATTACACTGTTGCAACTTCATCACCTGATACCTTGTGAAAGAATAATCATTTGACATATTTGTGGGTTTAAAATCAAAAGAAATATTTCAAAGTGTATGCTATAGCCCTAGTTGTTCAGAAAGAATTCCTTTTCATAAGCCACAGTAGTGGCCTCTATGTTTGTGCAGATTAAGTTTTCACAGTCTTAATTCAAAGAAAATTCTTGACATGTAAGCCACACTAAATTATAATTATAGCTTTTCCCCTTGCTTGCAACAGGATTATGTTTTGTGTGTTTTGTATTGTTGTTGCTTTGTGGTGCTGGGAATGGAACCTAGGACTTTGTGCATTCACTCTACCGCGGAGCTACTTCCCTAATCACCCCTCCCCTACGTTCTATAGATCTGGATGCACTTAATGCTAATTTTAGTAACTGCATGCTACTTTTTTGGAAAATTAAGGTAGTTTCTGGTGTAGCACCTTTAAGTGATAAGATACTTTTTTCTTGTTGTTCTTTTAAATTTCACGCCTCACTTGGGAAATTAACTACCTTGTCAGTTATGTTGTTACTTTAGGATCACTAGCTTCAAGGGAGCAATATTGGTGACTATGGACTCCAGTAGTGTGGGGAGCTTTTTCCAAAAATGTAATAATTGGTAGGCAAATGTCCTTGTGGTACAAAGCAAAATTATGGGCCTGCATCATCAGCCAGCAAATGTGCGCTGCTGCTCTTGTTGGGCTCCACGGAGCATTGTTCTGTACAGCCTGTTCCCTGCCTGAGCTTTCTCAATGATGTGGAGATTGAGTGTTATGAAAGCTAATGCTAATTCCTTGTGATCCAGCTGAGGGTTCCTCTTCCTGACTATACCACTATTTTGGTTACTCTTTGCTTTTACTTGGGCCTCCATTCAAAGATTAGACACAGGAACTACTTCATACAGATCCACATTCTTTATTTTTGATTTATATTCCTGCTGCCCCTGCATTGAGCTGGATCCTCCAGAACCCATGAGAAAATACCTGTTCTCAAGCATGAGGGAATGCAGTTTAGAAGTATATGGAGGTGACACTTTTTGTGATTTAGATTGACAGATTCAGAGTTCAGACATCTTTTGAAAAGTCTATGGAAGAGCAAGCACTTTTTAAAAAAATTACTAGTCACATTACAAATTAGTACATCATGTGTGGAGCACAATTTGAGAATAGCTAGCAAATTTATTAATTCACATTCCCTTTGACCCAAGCAGTTTCAGTCCCACACAAATGAATTGGCAAATTATTCATAGCATAGTTAGTTTGTAACAGCACAAGATTGTAAGCAACATAAATGTCCATCAATAGGGAGGTAGTTAAATAAATTTGGTGCGTTCATAAAATGGAATGCTATGCAGCCATTAAAAAGGATATAGAAACTTCATGTTGTGTGAAGTCTTAAAGTATACATTAGAGCAAAAAGCAAACTGTTAAACATATCTTTTGCTACCATTCTTGTAAGGAAAAGGGGAGGAAAGGGTAGTAGATGTGTTTATGTGTATAAAGTAGCTCTGAAAATACTCACAGAACTGATTTCACTGATTGTCTCTCGATTGGACAACTAGATGGCTAGAGAACAGGAACATGAGCAAGACTTTCCAAAGAAGACCTTTCTATTCTCATTGAATTTAAGCCACAGGATGTTACCTACATAATAACTAAGCATCCAGTTTAGAAAAAATAATACCTTGCAGGCTAAATAAAAGGCAAGAAATACCACATTTTATTGCATACTTTTGTAGATCCTAGAACCATCAATCATCAGATAGTGATGATTCTTTGTTATCTGACTGCAGATATCACACCTGTCTCATTGTAAGCAAATTTCCTAACATTGAGCCATTACTGGAATGATTCTTATTTGATACTCTTCTAGTGCCTTGCTTGTTTGTGTTTAAAAATTTTTCATTAATATTCAAGACAGATTTATTTATATTGGGTATTTGTTTGTTGGTCATCCTTAGCGTGTTTTGATAAGGAATATTATAAAACTTAAAATTACTGGGAATCTGTAACATTTTGCTCTGGTTATTTTGGAGACAGAGTCTTGCTGTTTCCCCAAGCTGTCCAGGACAGCAATCCTCCTATTTATGCTTCTTGAAGTAGCTGAAATGACAGGCATTATATATACTTTTTGCACCCAGTAGGTCTTGAGCTATCCAGTCTCAGCCTCTCAAGCAGCTAGGATTACAGGTGTGAACCTCTGGTGCCCAGCTTCTTTTTCCTTTTTTTCTTCCCTCTTGCCCTCCTAAGGCAGACAAGCTAAGTTGAAATATGTTTTCATTTATAGTAAATTGTATTTTTACCCATAGGAAGAAGAAGGAAATACTTGCAAAACACAAAGAAGTTCCTGGCTTCAAGATTGTGTTTTATCCTTATCACCAACCAATGATCTCATGGTTATTGCTCGGGAGCAAAAAGCTGTGTTTCTAGTGCGTAAGTACCCTGTTGTCCTGTGGCCTTTTTTTTTTTTTTATTCATTTACTCACATCTGTGGCCTTTATTTTAATGCATAGAATAGAACAGAAAAAAGTTATTTCTATTTTAAGAATGGTGTGGTTTTCAGGTATAATTTGAAAACTTGTTACACCATACATTTTTATTTGGAGTGTAAGTTTTCATCTTATAAAATTTAAGATTTGAGGATATATAAGATATGGAAAACCTCACTGAACAAAATAAGATATATATAAAATGGCTGTGGAATGGCCTTATAAAGCAAAGTTATCCTCAGTGGCATGAACCTAATAGAAAAATTTTCTGTTACCTGAAGATAAAATTAGTCCTATAATAGCCTGATGTAATAGTCTTTTAACTGGTGGCTCACACCTGTAATCCTTGTTACTTGGGAGGCAGAGATTGGGAGAATCACAGTTCCGGCCCAATCTGGGCAAAAAAGTTTGAGAGACCCACTTTTTAATGGCAAAAAGCTGGACATGATGGCATGCACCTGTCATCCCAGCCATGGTGGGAAGCATAAAATAGGATCATGATCCAGACTCACTTTTGCAGGCAAAAAGTGAGACCTTATCTTCAAAATAACCAGAGCAAAAAGGGCTGGAGGCATGGCTCAAGTGCTAGAGTGACTGCCTTACAAGCACGAATCTTTGAGTTCAAACCTAGTCAAATAAATAAATAAAATAAATAAATGTCTTATAAATAAAATATGTAGGGTGGGGCATGGGAATTAATAATTTTGTGCTATAAGAACTATGCGTAGAATAGTGTGTTCCATGGGTTTCATTGGAGGAAAGAGATAAAAGGGTAGGAAACCAGGTTTTTTAACAAAAATCTTGAACTTTTTTTTAAACATCTCATATTTATCTATAGAAACATCCAAGTCAATCAATAGAAAAGTATTAAATTTTTTACTTATCTTTCTAAAGGGAAAGAGCAAAATTTATCAGTTGCTGCCTTAGTATACTATATTTTATATGGTGTCTTAATTTTTTCAGCAAAATGGAAATATAGTGACAAAGGAAAGGAAGAAATGCAATTTGCTGTTGGTTGGAGTGGTTCTTTAAATGTTGAAGAAGGGTAGGTACCAGTTATTTCTTTGTTTGTTTGTTTCTCTCAGTGTTAAATGTGCATATGAAGTAGATTTCTTTGCAAGTTACTTAAGAAATTCTATCAGGAAATGTTTAGTAATGTATATGCATCACAGCTGTAAAGGTTGTAGAGAATGGTTTACTCAGCAAATTTTAATTTTACTCATCGTGATTTTTTTTTTTTTTTCAAAAATCTAGTTTGGAGAAGATTTCAGGCAGAGTTCAGAATGAATCTCATAAAGTCCTTTTTACATTTTGTCTTTTCCATGTGCTCTCCATTACTAATTTTTCATCCAGAAAAGCGAAAGGCAGCCATTGTCTTCCTACTTTACTAGTATTGAGCTTGTACCTGAAAAGGACAGTGTTACACTCATTCTTAAACCCACAAATACTTCAGAAATGCAAGTTGGAGAACCATGATCTCTAAGTGGTTACCTGATGGAGCTGCTAGCCTGGAACACTGAGTCAAAAACTGTATTCATTTAAATTTTATGATAGAAAACCATCTGATCAGAATGAATAAGAAGATCCTTCAGACTTTGAATTAGATGAAAGATGATCAAATGGAAGTGCCTAATGCCTGCCTGGCACATTACAGATGATCAGTGAAATGTTTTCTACTATTATCAAAGTAAAAGATAACATTTCTCATTTAGCCTAAGCATTATAAAGATTTAATGTCTGTCAGAAATATAAAGCAAAAAAATATTACTTGTAAAACAACAAGCAACAGGTTAATTTTTTCCATTTTTTACCTAGTATGTTGGATAGGGCAGGAGTGTTTATAGGTTTTGAATAAGCTGGTAATGGTCACGAGGCTTGACAGCTTAAACAAAAACCAGTTTGTAGAAGTTGTTTCTATTTCCCGGACTTGGCTCTGAGTGTTTGACAATATTTTAAATCAGCATGCCAGGAAAGCAGTCTTTTTTCGTAGGAGGCCTGGGCGTAGTGGCTCATTCCTATAATCTCAACTACTTGGGAGGCAGCGATCAGGAGGATTATGGTTCAAGGCCAGCCCAGGAAAAACATTAGTGAAACCCCATCTCAACATAGAAGGTGGACATAGTGGCACGTAGTTGTTATCCCAGCTATACAGGGGGCATAGGTTATGAGGATCACAGCCCAAGGCCAGCCATGAGATCCTATTCAAAAAATAACTAAAGGAAAAAGAGCTGGATATGTCTCAATTGGTGGAGCTCTTGCCTAACAAACGTGAGGTCCTGAGTTCAAACCCTAGTACCACCAAAAAATAAATAAATCTTTTTTAGGGAACATCATACGTTTAGAAATAAGTTACCAAGGTTAGTTTTTGCAGAATCTGAAACCAGTCACTTGAAGTATAGTAAATTTCTGGAGGAAGATACCACACAGAAATGCAATTTGCCTATAATGTGTCTGGGAGTTCCTCCTCCATCTGCCCAGCACTGATCTCAAACAAGGAGGTGGGCTGAAGTTCTCATCTGATGTGGAAGAGAGGGAGATGGTGGCAAATGAGTGCCTGTTATCATTTAAGATTTTCCAGGTTTTGTGTACAATCAGTTGTGTACATAAAATTTTGCTTTCTTGAATGCTCTTCATGAGAATAGAGAGTGAAAAAATACTGTTTTTACTAATTTCAGATGATACATATTTACTTGTAAATATGTATTCTTACCTAGGCATCAGATAAAACCAGTCCACAGAAGTCATCTTCCACTTAATTGCCTTTTAACATCAAATTATAAAGAAATAAAAGTAATTGATAAATTCAGTGCATAAGCATGTGATTTTTCTATGTGATTATGTTTTTGTTTTTAGGGAATGTGTAACTAGTGCTCTGTGTATCCCACTAGCAAGTCAAAAGAGGTAAGGACAAATAAGAATTACCTGTTTGCTTTGCTTTGATGTCTGAGCTGTTAAGATCATGACCTTTGTTTGTTACAGGAGTTCTACTGGGCGTCCTGACTGGACCTGCATTGTGGTGGGTTTTACCTCAGGTTATGTGCGCTTCTACACAGAGGTGAGTTGGGTTTTCAGCAGTCAGAAAGCATTAATTGACTGTAGTAGTTAGTCGTGAATGTCCAGTTTACTAACTGTGACTTCTTTACATACTGTTTGGAAATGTATTGTTTATGCTTCATGGGGGTGGACAGGCAGTGGAACCTTCTGATTGAAGGTTCAGAGAAGAAAAGCTATTCTTCTGAAAAGAGAATATCTGGTGTCCCTGGAACACTATTGGGGAAATGATATTGTGCGCCTTGCCATACTTGTTCAGGCTTAGTAGTGAGAAAACAAGCAGGGCCCTTCTCTGTGCTTCCTCCTAGAATGGTGTGCTTTTGCTTGCACAACTTTTAAATGAAGACTCAGTGATTCAGCTCAAATGCAGGACCTATGAAATCCCCCGACATCCTGGCGTGACTGAGCAGGTAGTGTAAAAGATTATGTTCAAAGTAATTTGAAGGCATTTCTCCCTGACTTTTTGTGTGAAAACTTAACGATATTTTTGCCTAGGACCACAGTTAGCTATGCTGTCTTTCTAGAAATATAATCTATTTGTAGCTGAATACAGAATACTGTTCCTGCTTGTATTTTTAAATGAAATACTGCATTATTGACTTAAGATAAATGTGTGTATGTATATATAAAACTATATCTTCTTAATTTTGATTTAGATGTCAAAATTACTCCTAGTAAAAGAAAAGTTCTCATCTCACAGTCAAAGACTAATTGCAGAACCACTTACACCAATATGCTTTTATTTGGTCTGCATTTATTTGCTCAGAACTGTATGATATGCCTTCTTTTTTGTACTACTTGTTTTCCAAGAGATTTCAAGTAAATAAATGTATGTTTGTATAGACATATACAGACTTAAATAGCACGATTCAAGGGCCAGAACTAACTATAGAAGAAACAATCTAGTAAACAGACTAATCAGTTATATAAAGAAGTACCTAAATAATTGCTAATTTCTAAGGGCAGAATAAACTGTACAAGTTTAGTGAATAGGTAGCTCAATTAGGACTAAGACGATAAGAGAAAATTTCATAGAGGAGGTAAGATTTGAATTAAGCCTTGCATAGTGGGCATGGAATTTAAGTAATGGGAAAAGAAAGGAAAGTGTTTCAGGAGAAGAATGAGGGAAGATTCAAAGATAAGACTACATGTAACAACAAAGGGACCTATGTTTGCAAATAATGAGAAACTGGTGAATAGGCAGAGTGGCCAATTTTGCATAAACTCAAACATTAAGTACAAATCAGAATTCATTCAGAAGATGAGAGAAGCTCCTAAAGATTTATGAGAAAAGTGATATAATCAAAGAGTTATTGAAGGACTCTTTCTTCAAGATGAATTGGAGTTGTGAGACAGTGGCATCAGTGAGGCTGGTTACCATTGTTTTGTTTTGTCTTTGTCTTGTCTCATTTTGGTTTGGTTTAGTTTGACTTCATTTGAGACAGGGCTTGCTCTAGAACTTGCTCTGTGGTGGAGGCCTAGAACTCATGATCCTCCTTCCTCAGCCTCCTGAGTGCTAAGGTTACAGGTATGCACCACTACACTGTCTAGTTGTCTGGTTTTTTTGTTTTTGTTTGTTTGTTTTTTTTAAGTTATGTGTACTAGATGTGTACTATTAGGAACCAGAATTAGAACAGCTTCAGAAGAGAGAAAAGACCAGTGCAAAAATCATTTTGAAGCAACAGTTGACAACATTGGCTTTTGTTCAGAGATGTAGAACACAAAAATAGAAATGAGTAGAAGATAACTCAAAGGCATTCATTCTAAGGAGTGCCATTGATAAAAGTATAAGACGAACTATAGCATTTGACTGTAAGTAAAAGTTATTAAATGTGACTTTAAGCATGTTGAGTTTGAGGCAGTAGTAGGAAATAAAATGAAGATACCAGCATCATGTGATGATACAAGACTGTATAGGCATAGAGACTAGATTGGATTGGTGATTAAAGTCATAGATAATGAACTCTTCCAAGTAAAGGGCATAGGAAAATAAAACTCTTAGCTGAAAATGTATGTCTTAGCAATGTTCACCGTAAGGAGGTGGGAGAAAGTAGGGTTATTGAAGGCAACAAAGAAGGAGCTGTTGGAAGCCTAAGATGATCTGTGTCTTAAGGTGCAGGGATTTTGAGATACTTCTCAAGAGATGTTTTCCATTTCTCTGCAAATTCACTGGATGATTAAGATTCTTGTAACACTTTAAACTTGGTCATGCCTATCGTTTTTAGAACTGATGGAAGAATATAACTAACATTAAATGCTTGCTTGCTATTTGCTATACAAGCCAAGAAAATCACCTTTTAGCTAAAATGTATGTGGGATTTGAACTCAGGGCTTTGTACTTGCTAGGCAAGCACTCTACCACTTGAGCCATGTCTCCAGCCCTTTTTGCTTTAGGTTATTTGGGCCTCCTGCCTTTTACATAGGGCCAGCCCCAAACTACAATCATCCTACCTATGCCTCCTGTGGAGCTGGAATTCAGGCTTGCACAACCATGCCCAGCTTTGTCAAGTAAGCAAGCTTTGTCTTGCTCACTTTTTACCCAGACTGGCCTGAAACTGTGATCCTTCTGATCTCTGTTTTCCAGGTAGCTAGGATTACAGGTATGAGCCACCATGCCCAGTCCCTAAAAAAATAATTAAACTCAGGCAAGAAAGACTTTGTTGTCATTCTGTATGCTATGTAAGCATCTTTAGATCTGACTTACCAATTTTTACATATAAAAACATGTGTATTTGCTTCTTTTCAACATAACTCCCAGACCTATCAGAGATAGATATGAAAATGAAAATTGTGAATACTTTGTCACCAACAGACTCACCTGAAGGAATTTATGCTACTGGAAAATCCTGCTAAGTGATGCAGACATGTTTACAATAATGACAAGCTGCTCATTCATTCACAAATATTTATATATTGCCTATTTTGTGTCCAGTCCAGTTATAAGCTCTGAGGATTCACTGGTGGTGAGTCAAACATGGAGCTTGCAGTTTGGGGGCCATGGAGGGAAACCACAGTAAACAACTAGAGATCAAGGTGATTCCAGACTCTGCTATGAAGGAAGTCATCACGTTGATGGAACAGTGTTATGACAAGAGAATTGGGATGCTGTTTGTGATAGGGGATGTTGAACAGCCCTCTGAGAAACACTGAGCTAAGACCTGAATGACTAGAAAATGTGGCAGGTGAAATCTGGATGGAGAAGATGCAGGCACATGCAAAGGACTGAAGTGATGTTGATCTTCCTGTTGAAGGAGTAAGGGCAGAAGATGTGAGGTCACATTAGACATGTGACATGCCAGAGCTCAGGTTTTATTCCAAATGCAGGGGGAAGCCATTGGAGAGTTTGAGGCAAGAGAGTGAATTAATCTGCTGTGTCTCATGCAGGTGATGCTGGCTGTGTGGTGCGTGGGTTATAGAGAGCAAGAGGCTAAGATGAATGTTCACCGATAAGAATTAGCTAAGTAAATTTGGGTACACAAGCTGTGTGCAGTGGCTGTAATCCAGTTCCTTGGGAGACTGAGGCAGGAGGATCAGTTGACTCCGGATTTCTAGTCCAACCTGGGCAATATAGTGAGACCTTGCCTCAAAAAAAAAAAAAGTATGCACAATAGACTATTGTGGAGCCATGTAAAAAAAAAAAGAGTTGTTCACTTATTAAAATGAAAAAAATAACAGGCTATATTGAGAAATAAAGAGTTGTGGCTTAGAATACTATGTGATGTGCTTCTATGCAAATGTGTATGAATGCATTTGCACTGGGACATTTCTAGGATTTCTGGTGAGTTCTTATTTCTGTTTTTATATATTGCTTATATCTGTGCTTATATTTATGAAATTGAAAAAAAAACTGTCACTCTTATCATCTATCCTGAGAACATTTCCACCATATACAAAAGCTCATATTTGAGAAGAATTTTTAAGTCTTTGGCTAAAAGGCATTATGAAATTAATTTCCATTTTTTTAAACTGTTCTCTCCTGGTGTTCTTTGTGTGTTGGACAGTTTAGTCATAATATTTAATTTTATGTTATTCATGAAATTCAGGTATTTTAAAAAAGTAAAGTATGCTTATTTTGCCATATCTGCTTAAGAAATGTGTCATTTCCTTTTTTAATTTCTCAAATAGAATGAAGAGTTGAGTATTTTATATCCAGCTGCCATTGTGACCATTGATGGATTCAGCCTTTTTCAGTCCCTTCGTGCTTGTCGAAACCAGGTTGCAAAAGGTAATTTTTTGGCAAGTGTTATTTAACTCCTGATGCTGTTGGTTTTATTTAATTGACCTACTTATAGAACTACATGAAAAATGATGATAAAGGAAACCCCTGCTCTGACAGGTAATGGGTTAGATTGCTTAGTGAGATAAAAGTGAGGCTGAACATCAGTGTTCTTTATATGTTGCCAACAGAGAGTGGCAACCCGGGAGCAGCAGGCTTTCTTCACTAACACAGCCACGTGTCTTGGTTAGGAGTGAGATTTCCACCTGCACCAACAGTCAGCATTTGGTTAGGAATTTGGTTGCAGCTGGCAGCTTCTCACTAGATGAGCAGCTATGGGACCAACATGCTGTACGTTGCTTCTTTCCTCGCTGAGGAGAAGGTGTCAGTGTGTTCAGGGACATTTGCACCATGTAGGCAAGGCCCAGAAGGAAGTCCACATCAGCCTCTCTTTTTGCTTACTTGGAATACTTCTAAATGGGGAAAACTTAGAGGTCCAACTCCATGTGTGTAGAGTGTACCATGTTAGTAGGGATGAAAACTACACAAGTCAAGAATTCTTACTTTTACTTCCCATGGCTTATATTGTGATGCTACTGTGTCCTTGGAAAAGGATATGGTATATTATCAAGTTCAAGATGCAGTTGATTGTAAGATGCACTGTTACTTTACCACTATGAAGAAAAATGTTGCTAGTGAAAGACACACCATTGATTTTTAAGATCCTGGTTTTAGAGATGTTAAAATATGATGAAGAAGAAGCATACATAAAAATAGCAGTGCCTACTTCTTTCCTCTTTTTTCTTGGATGATGTAGAGGAACCTTAGTAGCCCTTAGTTTAACTCTTAAATGGTTGAGACAGATCTCTGAAAAGTTTAGGATATTGTGCTACTTCATAAAATTGTTTCTAAATCCACCCTGACTATAAAATGCAAAATAAGCAATTTCTTCTGGGAGATTGTACTATCTTATATTGCAATAGAAAATTTTGTTGTGTCTTTTAGCAGATTGTGATTGGTAAAATTCTTAAATCTTGGTTTTTAATGCTACATGCTTTTGTATTAGGTCAGAACATTTTTGAATTTATACCTATTTTCATTATCTTTTAAATTATTTAAATTTAACTCATTATAAACTTTACTATTTTGACAACATTTAAAATAATCTCCATTAATATACATGCCCAAAGAAACTACTATTTTTCTATAGGTAAGAATTCTATTAATAAAGTTAACTAGAAATAGACCATTATGTTGTAACTGGCATTGTCAGCCATTTAATTTTTCACCATTTTAAATTCCTATTTACTTGTTTTATATAAGACTGTAAAATCATTTTGTCTTCCAGAAAGTAAGGCATTAAGCCACTTAGTTTAGTGTTCTCTTATTGTAAGTTGCTCTAAGAAGAATTCTGGTTACTTAGCTGCAAATCGTTGTGACATTTGTTTCGGCATTTAGGAGAATTCTGTTTTGTAGACCTGCCTATCAAATATATAGTGTTTAGAGAATTATAAGGTATCTTTCTTCACTTTCCAGAGCAAACAGCCAAAACTCAGTGGTATGCTGATATGGAACTTCCTTATAAATGGGACTTTGCACACAAACTTTTGGCAAGGGGAATGTCATCACTCACTAGGAAGAGAGACATAGTTAAAGATTGGCATTTCATGAATTTTCTGGCAGTACTATTTCTGTTAATATTTCTATCAAGTTGGAGCTAAGTGACCTAGATTAGAAACAGTGCTCTCCATGTGCTCAGTTTACTTTTTCACTGAGTAAATCACAGGATGGGGTTACCAGGATTTCCCCCACTTTGTCAGCCAGGAGCAATTTCTTACTTGGCATCAAGTGCAGTTTGAATTCACCTTGATGTTTAGTGATCTTGTAGGCTTTCTAATGGTTGTCTTCTCTAATTTGGGTCTGCCAATGTCCCTTGCACAAGTCAGCTTAGTCTTTTAAAGATTTGCATTTTTGTGTGTTCCCATGGCATGAATATATCTGTTTGCCTTGTTTCTAATTTTGCTTCATTATTACTTGAAATTTTAGAGTACAAAATGATTATATATTTAATTTTTTGTAAAACTGCATTTTATCCATTATAATTAAGTTTAAATTGTCTAATTTTTATCTTTGACAGCTGCAGCATCAGGCAATGAGAATATACAACCACCACCGTTAGCTTATAAGAAATGGGGTCTACAAGATATTGACACTATTATTGATCATGCTAGTATTGGTAAGTATTAATAGTGCAAATTCTTTTTAGAATTTACTTCTTACACATTTTGATTGAAGTGTCTCGTTTATTTGAAATGGACACTTACTGTGTGAAAAAATGCATTGCCTTTAGTGACAGACTCAGGCTTATGTCTTTAAGAAGTAGTAACAGTTTTAATTAGGCCAACAGTAGCAGTATCATATAGGTATAAGTAACTGTGTGACTTAGTTTGTGTATAGACAGTTTTGGTCAACATATTGACCATGTAAATCAGTCTTTTAGAAATGTAACCTTTAAACCAGCAGAATGTAGATAATATTTCTTCTTGCAACAGTTTTAGAGGGCTTATTATGTTAGGCGTCAAGAATACAGAAATGAAAGCTAAGCATGATGATACATGCCTGTAATCCCAGTACTTGGAAGGCTGAGGCAGGATGACAGCAAGTTTGATGCCAGCCTGGGCTACATAGTGAGACCAGAGAGAGTACAGAGATGAAAAGGTACAGTATTTGCTGTCTATAACACAAGTCTAATTGGAAGAAACACATGAGAATAGCTAGAGTGTCCCAGCCTAACAATTGTTATGTGGACAAACGGACCAGCAACTGTGGGAACCAAGCCTTGACATTGGGGAGAGGAGCTTAACTTTAATCTGACATTGAAAGAATGAGTAGGACTTAACCAGGAGAACAAGCAAAAAGGAGACATTCTAGCCAACATGTACATAGGCACAGGGGAGAAGTGCATAGTATGCTGGAGAAATGAGTGTTGGGGATGACTGACAAGAATGAGGCCAGATACGTAGAGAGGTCTGATTTTGAAGTCCTTGATGTACTATGCAGAGGGATATCTAAAAGTTTTCATTTAGAACTTTCTTCTAGCCACATTGAGAGCTACCGAGGAATTCTGAGCAAAGGAATCACATTTGTGTTAAAAAATCACTTTGGGGTTGGAGGCGTGGCTCAAAGTGTGGAGTGTCTGCTGAGCAAGCACGAAGCCCTGAATTCAAGTCCCACTACCACCAAAAAAAAAAAAAAATCACTTTGGTTGTAATTTAGAGGCTGGAGGATTCAAAATTAGTAAGGAGAAACTGGGTATCATGTCTACCTGTAATCTCAGCTACCCTGGAGTCTGAGGCAGGACAGCCCATTCAAGGCCAGCCTGGGCAACACGGTGATGCCTCATCTCAAAAAAAAAAAAAATGCAGCACTGGTAAACTATCATAGTCTTAGTAAGAAGGAGTGAATTCTTACTGAATTTTAAAATGGGAGGCAAGAAGAAGGAAATACTGTTGTAAAAAAAAGTCTTTTTTTATCAGTGTAATATAAGCTTATTAAAAATTCAACCAGTACATAAATAAAGAGAAGAAGGGAAAAAAAATCAGAGATACTCATCATTGGTGTTTTGGAAATAAAACATTTTGTAACGTCCTTGTAGATTTTCTGGTATGTGTGTAAGTGTGTGTGTGATATGTATATGGTCTTGTGGAGAAATATGTTTTCATAAATAGTATTATAGCAACCATGCCATAACCCTTTTCCAATCAGTGCATCTTTTTGCCAATTTTACTAAATATACATTCAGTCAGCCAGAGTCAGATGGTACACATAGGATAAGTGAAAGGTTTAGATACAGAGGATCTATTTATGAAGATATGGTAGGAAAACCATATAGTTCAGTGTCCCAGTGCTTCTTAGCAGCCAAGCTAGGCCTAAAGAGATAAGGGCAGGGAACAGCTCCAGAACTTGGAGATAATTAAAATCAGTGCCTGGAAGGCAGAATGACTTTGGCTCAAGGGTCACAGCCAGCTTTCAGGGAGGAAGCCTGGGAATAGAGGTCCTGACTTCATTTTCCTTTCACTCTTGGATCTCCTGATAGGACTTCCCATTGTCTGAATTCAACCAGAAGTCAACATGATCTGTATGCAAAGTGGTAAGTTAGGGAAGGGAGCAGTGTGAATTTAGAAGGCTGACAGCAGGTATCAGACTCATAAGTCATCTGGTTCTATTCACTGCATAGTTCTCCATTGTTCTTACATAGAACACTCTGGAATAAGCACCTTGTTGGTAAATGTTTCAGTGTGTCTTTACTTTTTTTGCTAACAGAAATGCTACCATAAAAATTCCAAAGTGTTGAGTTCAGTTCAGGGTATCTTCCCTGCTCTGTTAATTGAACTTTGGAACATTGACACTGGCTGGGGAAAATGATTGGATAGAAAATGTATTTCTATTCATTTAATCCCCAGCCTACAAATGAAAAAACAAATTGTCCAATAAACTTTGTTTTATGTACATCTTTATGTAAAGGTTGAATTAAGTCATTCAACAAGTAAAGAAATATTATGTCCTAGGGACAAATATTGATGCTAGACAAGATAGTCCAGACCCCTGTTCAGATGAAACTTACTGTCCAGTGATAGCAAGACAAACAATAAAGAAACTAAATGAATAAATACAGTATTGTCAAAATGCTAATAGGCATCATGAGGAAAATAAGCAGATGGTTATGATTGAGAATAGAGTACTTAGGTTGACTTGTGAGGGAAGGCCTCTCCCGGAACCACATTCAGACTGAGAGCTGAAGGGTATGGGACCAGCTGTAAGAAGAGCTGTAATAGCATTCTAAGCAGAGGAAGAAAGGTATAGGGCCAGGGACCTCGAAGACCTTAGAGTGTTCAAAAGACAGAATGGAGGTTAGTAAGATCTGATGGTTAAGATGAAGGGGAACAGGAGAAAGTTAGATTGGAGGTTGTAGATGAAGTTCAGGTCACATAGGTATATGAAGGTCAAATTTTATTCTAAATCCAGTAAATGAGATTGGTGGATTCTAAGTAGGAGATTTATATTTTCAAGTATCCCTTTAGGGTTTTTTTTTTTTTTTTTTTTTTGAGACAGAGTCTCACTGTACAACCCAGGCTGGCTTCGAGGCTCATGGTCCTCCTGCCTCAGCTTCCTGAGTCCTGAGATCACAGGATATGTCACTATACCCAGCCTTCAAGGATTTCTGAATTGTTATGTTTGAGCAACTAGGTAGACAAGCAGATTGTGTGTACTAAAATGAGAATAAGGAAGAGGAGGAAGAGCTCAAGATGGACAAATCAAGAGAGATTTTTTTTAACAAG